CTAGGTAATGACATATATAGCATTATATAGCATATATAATATACACTATAAATACATACATAGTGTGTACATACATAAATATATCCTCTCTCCATACATATTCTCTCTCTCTCATATATGTGTATGAGAGGGTATTAATAGAAACACATAGGAAGGTCACCTAACCTGAAATTATTAGGGTAAGGGTCAATTATTAGGGACAATTCCAGGAGGAACTGGCATCTAAACTGACATTGAAGGAAAAATGTCAAAGTTTGAGGGATGGGGGTGAGAGAGGAGTTTGGAAGTAAAGGAGTTATGAAATAAGTACCAAGAAGAGAAAAAGGCCATAGGCAAGGGGGAAAAAAGGCATGAAGCTTTTCACGAAATGAAAGCCCATATGAGTGGAGGTAGGGGTGAGGAGTAGAGGGGATAAAACTGGAGAAAGCCAGGTTGTGGGTGGTCGTTTTATTCCATCTTGAAAAGTTGCTCTTTATACTAAGAGTGATGGAAAGCCAATGGGGGGGCGGTTAAGCAGTAAAATGACACCTTCACATTTTCATTTCAGAACAAGTACTCTGCCTGAGAAAATGAGTTGGGAGCTGTCAGGAAGACCATTAGGAGACAGTTACAAGAGTCCAAGTAAGACATGCTACAGGCCTGTTTCAAGGTAGGGGCACTGAGAATGGAGAAAGAATAAAGAAAGGTTGCAACATATTTATGAAGCAAAATGGGCAGTGTTTAGTCATTGGTTCTGGAGAAGTGAAAGGGAGGATTGAGTCATGACAATGCCCAGGTTTCTGGTTTGAGCATCCAGGTACCATCCCTGAAGTAGGCACACAGAAAGAATGTAAACTTATGGCGTAGATGATGCCTTCGTTGAGACATGTTGTGTTTTGTCAGCCATCCCCACACTAGATCATGTCGTTTCCATATTTGAAGTTCTCATTTGAACCTTGATTTCATGATTAATTTTTATTTTACTGTGGTAAGAGCACTTAACATGAGATCTCACTGAGAGCTCATGAACTTTGGTGATTTGATGATTCCCACTGAACCTTGCCTCTCATGAGGCTCTTCAGATATGTAGGTCGCCCAGTCCACTTCCTCCATGCAAGCTCTGCTTATGGAAGCATATTGCTACATGTCCAGGGCCCGTCATCCCAGATGGAAGAAGTTATCACACTGCCTTGACACTGAGGAACTTTTCTACATTACAAATTTGGTCATGTTATTCTTACTCAACTTTACCCTCAGGTTGGAGTTCAAATACCTTAGCATGGTGCTACGGTTTAAATTTATTTGTCCCTCTAAAATGTTGGAACCTAATCCCCTATGTGATAGTATTAAGAGGTGGGGCCTTTTTGGAAGTGATTAAGTCATGAGCACTCTGCCCTCATGAAAGGATTAGTGCCCTTATAAAAGGGCTCAAAGAAACAAGCTAACACTTTTTTGGCCTTCTGTCCCATCTGTCATGTAAAGCCAAAGCATTTGTCCCTCCAGAGGACAGAGCAACAAGATGCCATCTTGGAAGCAGAGAACAAGTCCTTACCAGACACTGATTCTGCTAGTGCCTTGATCTTGGACTTCCCAGACTCCAGAACTGTGAGAAATGAATTTCTATTATTTATAAATTATCCAGTCTATGCAATTTTGTTATAGTAGCACAAACGGACTAGGACACATGGCTTTCAGGTTTCGGTGACAACCTAGGATCTCAGATGCTCTGCTTTGGTTCATACTGGTCCCTCTGCCTGAAATATCATCCTTCCCCACCTCCCCATGCTCTCCAGCACCCTATATCCTACAGGACTCAGCCTAAATGTCTCTCCACTTGGAAGAAATTTCCTGACTCTTCCCTTCTCAGGTCACAGTCCCACAGCTGATTTAGAGATATCCAGAATAGTCAAACTCTTAGAAGCAAAGAATAAGAGGAGATGATGGTTGCCTGGGGCTGAGGGAAGGGAGAAATAGGGAGTTATTGATCAACAGGTACAAAGTTTCAGTTATGCAAGATGAATAAGTTCTAGAGATCTGCTGTACATTGTGCCTCTAGTCAACAGTACTGTATTAGACATTTAAAAAGCTTATAAGGGGCCGGCCCGGTGGTGCACTG